ACTATGGTCGATCAGGGCCACTACCCGACCATGGATATGAAACAGGTAAGTGGCCGGGGCGAGTGACAGCACAATGATCGTTGAGGATAACGACTTAGGTGTTATAAAGCATCAACGACTTAGGTGTTATAAAGCATCAACGACTTAGGTGTTATAAAGCATCAACGACTTAGGTGTTATAAAGCATCAACGACTTAGGTGTTATAAAGCATCAACGACTTAGGTGTTATAAAGCATCAACGACTTAGGTGTTATAAAGCATCAACGACTTAGGTGTTATAAAGAAACAACGACTTAGGTGTTATAAAGAAACAACGACTTAGGTGTTATAAAGCATCAACGACTTAGGTGTTATAAAGCATCAACGACTTAGGCGTTATAAAGCATCAACGGCTTAGGCGTTATAAAGCATCAACGGCTTAGGCGTTATAAAGCATCAACGACTTAGGCGTTATAAAGAAACAACGACTTAGGTGTTATAAAGAAACAACGACTTAGGTGTTATAAAGAAACAACGACTTAGGTGTTATAAAGAAACAACGACTTAGGCGTTATAAAGCATCAACGACTTAGGTGTTATAAAGCATCAACGACTTAGGCGTTATAAAGCATCAACGGCTTAGGCGTTATAAAGAAACAACGACTTAGGTGTTATAAAGAAACAACGACTTAGGTGTTATAAAGAAACAACGACTTAGGTGTTATAAAGCATCAACGACTTAGGTGTTATAAAGCATCAACGACTTAGGCGTTATAAAGCATCAACGGCTTAGGCGTTATAAAGCATCAACGACTTAGGCGTTATAAAGAAACAACGACTTAGGTGTTATAAAGAAACAACGACTTAGGTGTTATAAAGAAACAACGACTTAGGTGTTATAAAGCATCAACGACTTAGGTGTTATAAAGCATCAACGACTTAGGCGTTATAAAGCATCAACGGCTTAGGCGTTATAAAGCATCAACGGCTTAGGTGTTATAAAGCATCAACGACTTAGGTGTTATAAAACATCAACGGCTTAGGCGTTATAAAGCATCAACGGCTTAGGCGTTATAAAGCATCAACGGCTTAGGTGTTATAAAGCATCAACGACTTAGGTGTTATAAAGCATCAACGACTTAGGTGTTATAAAGCATCAACGACTTAGGTGTTATAAAGCATCAACGACTTAGGTGTTATAAAGCATCAACGACTTAGGTGTTATAAAGCATCAACGGCTTAGGTGTTATAAAGCATCAACGGCTTAGGTGTTATAAAGCATCAACGACTTAGGCGTTATAAAGCATCAACGGCTTAGGTGTTATAAAGCATCAACGACTTAGGCGTTATAAAGCATCAACGGCTTAGGCGTTATAAAGCATCAACGGCTTAGGTGTTATAAAGCATCAACGGCTTAGGTGTTATAAAGCATCAACGACTTAGGTGTTATAAAGCATCAACGACTTAGGCGTTATAAAGCATCAACGGCTTAGATGTTATAAAACATCAACGGCACTGAGCTCATACCTTTGCATTTGTTAAAGCTCTACTTATTCTGCACTTGACCTCGTCGTTGACAGAATAACAAAGATATATTCAAATACAACTAGTCTCAGCAGACATGACTAGTTAAAGTCCCATTGGACTAGTCAAATGTGTGGAAGGTAAGGTAATTGCCGAGGGTATGTTGCCAGACTCAACACATCAACTCACGTTTTCTTGTTGAGCGTTTGTTAGTCTGAAGTCAGATGGAACCGAAACTGTTGCAGCACATATACAAAAAAAACCCGTGAAGATTCAGGGTACAATAGGTCTTCAGCAACCCATGCTTGCCTTAAAATGCGACTATGCTTGTCGTAAGAGGCGACTAACGGGGTCCGGTGGTCAAGCTCGCTGACTTGGTTGATGCATGTCATCGTATCCCAATTGCGTAGATCGATGCTCATGATGTTAATCACTAGATTGTCTGGTCCGGACGCGATTATTACCAGGCCGCCGTCATATAGCTGGAATATTGCTGAGTGCGGCGTTAAACACCAAACAAACAAAACACGCAAGAACAGTGTGTCCTGCTCAAGACAGGACTGATTCTAATGTGAGGCAACGAATCAGAGGAAGCAAGTGACAGGGTAGTCAAGTAACCATTGGTATGGAACAGTTCTAAAACATGGCATTAGATAATCTATTTCGGTTTCTGTATAATTTTTTTCTTTTTTGAAAAAGGCAATTTGTATTTGGAATATAATTATATAGAACGCGGGGCTTAACACTGCTTCTTGATGTTTAATGTTTCTTCGCGAGCAGTAGATGCTTGTTTTTGTTTTGCTTTTGTCACAGTCATCGGCATTCCCTCTATAACATGGTAGGAGAAGGATTGGATATTGTCAGAGTGAGTGAGATTGTTTTGTTGAACGCCACTTTGAATAATGATACAGTTATAGACAGGTTAGTGTGTGAGGGGCGGTGGGGTAGCATATTGTTAAAACGTTCGCTCGTCACGACGAATTCCTAGGTTCGATTCCCCACATGGGTACATGAGTGAATTTCTGGTGTCCCCCGCAGTGATATTGCTGGAATATTGCTGAAAGCGGCGTAAAACCAAACTCACTCACTCACTCACTCACTTAGTATGTGAGGAAAGTGATGCAGGTATGAGACGTGAAACACGAGCACCACGAGTACAGGTATGGTGCTGACAAGCCTAGAAACATAATCAGGGTGAATCTGGGATTCGAACTCACGGTCACAGGTTTCTGACACACTCAAGGGCCGCAACTCTGCACGGTTCTTGGTCACCCATGCCCTGATATTGTCAGAGCGTCCCTAAGACATTATAACATGAATGTAATTGATGTTAACCGGCACGGTACAGTCTAATACCCTGGCTCATTTATTATGACTGTCTTTGTGATAAAAATGGCTATTAGATATAAACTTTTAAACAGAATATTTGTACATCGGTATAAATCGCCTGTACGAAATCAGAAATGACACCAGGTGTTCGCGAAAAGGGTAAGCATGTCTTGCACTACGGTCCTGCCTCCCGCCGGACATCAACATGTTCATACAAAATATGTTCACAGTTAAAAACAGACCGCAATGACGAATGTCCGCTTTGAGAAATTTTCGGATTAATAAATAATGGGTTTTGTGGCGTGTCAATGAGCTTCGTGATTAGGAAGAACCGTGTAACGGTACATTCGGTGAAAAAAACAGTTTAATATGTTCCATTGATGATCAAAGAGGAAGTTTATATCTTCACCATATTAGTGTCATCTCGAAAAAGCATTATATCACGACAATGAAGGTATTGTGTCAGCATTGTGATGGTGTCATGTCCTGATTGTGTAAGTATTATGTCAGCATTGTGATGGTGTCATGTCCTGATTGTGTAAGTATTATGTCAGCATTGTGATGGTGTCATGTCCTGATTGTGTAAGTATTATGTCAGCATTGTGATGGTGTCATGTCCTAAATTGTGTAAGTATTATGTCAGCATTGTGATGGTGTCATGTCCTGATTGTGTAAGTATTGTGTCAGCATTGTGATGGTGTCATGTCCTGATTGTGTAAGTATTGTGTCAGCATTGTGATGGTGTCATGTCCTGATTGTGTAAGTATTGTGTCAGCATTGTGATGGTGTCATGTCCTGATTGTGTAAGTATTGTGTCAGCATTGTGATGGTGTCATGTCCTGATTGTGTAAGTATTGTGTCAGCATTGTGATGGTGTCATGTCCTGATTGTGTAAGTATTGTGTCAGCATTGTGATGGTGTCATGTCCTGATTGTGTAAGTATTATGTCAGCATTGTGATGGTGTCATGTCCTGATTGTGTAAGTATTATGTCAGCAGTGTGATGGTGTTATGTCCTGATTGTGTAAGTATTAAGTCAGCATTGTGCAACATTGTGTAAGTATTGTGTCAGCATTGTGTTGGTGTCATGTCTTGATTGTGTAAGTATTGTGTCAGCATTGTGATGGTGTCATGTCCTGATTGTGTAAGTATTAAGTCAGCATTGTGCAACATTGTGTAAGTATTGTGTCAGCATTGTGTTGGTGTCATGTCTTGATTGTGTAAGTATTGTGTCAGCATTGTGATGGTGTCATGTCCTGATTGTGTAAGTATTAAGTCAGCATTGTGCAACATTGTGTAAGTATTGTGTCAGCATTGTGTTGGTGTCATGTCTTGATTGTGTAAGTATTGTGTCAGCATTGTGATGGTGTCATGTCCTGATTGTGTAAGTATTAAGTCAGCATTGTGCAACATTGTGTAAGTATTATGTCAGCATTGTGATGGTGTTATGTCCTGATTGTGTAAGTATTAAGTCAGCATTGTGCAACATTGTGTAAGTTTTGTGTCAGCAGTGTGATGGTGTTATGTCCTGATTGTGTAAGTATTAAGTCAGCATTGTGCAACATTGTGTAAGTATTATGTCAGCATTATTCCAGAGATATGACGGCGAAAAAAGAATATATTCGAGTCTTGACCAGACAATTCTGTGACTGATATCATGAGCATTAATCTTTTTAATTTGACATGCATCAATCAAGTCAGCGAGCCTGACCACCCGATCCCCTTAGTAACCTCACACGACAAACACTGGTTCTAGAAGACTCATTCAAACCCGGATCGCATTGTGTAAGTACTTTGTGAGCATTGTGTTATTATAACGTCAACGTGGTGTACGTACTCTGTCAGGATTGTTGTATTTTATGAAGTCAGGAATGTGTAAGTATAAAAAAACCTCTATATCAATAATGTATATGTTTTATATCAACATTGTATGAAAATAATCAATGCATTACAAATGTACATTATATGAATTGCATATACATTGTTTACAATTAACACACAAATGATTCCAAGAAGACTAATAGTGAATCGAATCAGTCGCCATTAGTACACCCGATCTCTAAACTAAATCAGCGGGGTTAAAGCGCACACCACCCCAACCAGCGTTCAGAACGTTACATTAATATCAGACAATGCATTACTGCATTTGGAAGCAAGATATTATTTACCTTAGCAATTATTCCCAGACTGCATAACAAAATCCATCTGAAAAAGAGAAACATATTTTAGTAGGATATCCTTAATCCATTGTCACACGTTTATCCTGTCAGACATTACTTTTGGGGATTACACTACAGTACTTCTCGGTATTTCAAGACATTACTTTTAGGGATTACCCTACATTACGTCTGGGTATTACAAAACACTACTTCCGGGTGTCACAAGGCATTGCTTCAGGGTGTTACAAGACATTGCTTTCGGGTATAACAAGACATTGCTTCCGGGTATTACAATTCATTACTTCCGGGTATTACAAGACATTGCTTCCGGGTATTACAATTCATTACTTTCGGGTATTACAAGACATTGCTTCAGGGTATTACAATTCATTACTTCCGGGTATTACAAGACATTGCTTCCGGGTATTTCAAGACATTACTTTCGGGTATTACAAGACATTGCTTCCGGGTGTTACAAGACATTACTTTCGGGTATTACAAGACATTGCTTCCGGGTATTTCAAGACATTACTTTCGGATATTACAAGACATTGCTTCCGGGTATTACAAACTATTGCTTCCGAGTATTACAATTCATTACTTCCGGGTATTACAAGACTTTACTTCCGGGTGTTACAAGACATTACTTTCGGGTATTACAAGATTTTGCTTCCGGGTGTTACAAGACATTACTTTCGGATATTACAAGACATTGCTTCCGGGTATTACAAGACATTACTTTTGGGTATTACAAGACATTGCTTCCGAGTATTACAATTCATTACTTACGGGTATTACAAGACATTACTTCCGGGTATTACAAGACATTGCTTCCGAGTATCACAAGACATTACTTACGGGTATTACAAGACATTGCTTCCGAGTATTACAATTCATTGCTTTCTGGTATTAATAAGATTACTCCCGGGTATTACAAGAGAGTACATCAGGTTTTAAAAGACACCACTTCCGAGTTTTACACAACGTTACTTCCTTTATTACAGAACATTATTTCCGGGTATCACAAAACAATACTACACAAACATAAAGTGGATATGTTTTGTCTTGACCAACAATATCTTTTCGGAACAAATGTGTTCGTTTACGAATGAAACTATCACACATTCACAATCTTCCTTAATCAAATTTCGTGAAGCGATTCGGTTTCGGACAATTCTGCACTTTGACAATGATGATGATAAGAATGATGCTGATGATAAGGCCACTCTCCATTAACCTGTCCGTTGTATTCTAAAACACAAGAACTATTTCTACAGGAGTGACGGGAGAATCCTGCTGAGGCATCATTCCCTGAACTAACTATTGTAAACGAGGATTAATTTTAGCGTTTATAGGGGTATATACGTAAACACCGGAGTCAGCCCTCCACCTAAACACAAAGTCAACTGTAACACTGTATGGCCTACTTGTTTATTCATTAACACGAGACTCTGTAGAGAACGATACCAAATCAAGGACAATGTTAAGCACAACACAACAGAGTCTGCAAGACGACTCCACAAACGGGCGTGGCCTAATGTATCAGGTTCAAGGAACAATAAATGAAGAAAAGTTGCTTGGTTGGGTAAAAATGTCATGGAACTACATGTACTTGCAATTTGTTTCATTCACTCTAATCATATTAGCTCATGTCAGGTATAATAGGTGACAGTTGAATCTAATTGGTTTTATGACTGAACTGCTTTGAATTACTTCGCTCTTTGCTTCCAACAGTAGAAGCAAACACAGCCGAGATATATCCCAGGTGAGCTACAGTGCCCGCAGTAAACAACACAGGCAGCGGGATGAAAATAGAACAAAATCTATCAAACATTTGTGTTACGTTGATGTGAAGAATGTTGAACCTAGAACTATACGAAGACACTTAAGGATAAAAGATACCGCAGATCTTCCCGGAGATACAGCACGTGCGGAAGGTCAGAAGGTCAAATATACAAGGGTCAGCTCCAAAATACATCCTATGACAGAGCACGGCGTTTATACTCGAGTAAGACAACACGGAGTCTGCGAACGCGATCCTTGAGGAGCTTGACGAGAACGCCTACTCTCCGTCAACCGATCCCTCTATCAAAGGTACAATATACCCAGGGACGAGTTATTCAACGCTGGCTAAGAAAATTGATAGTTCATTTCGATTCATTGCTCGTTTGCGGGAGGCTCGAAGCACGTTCAAGACGTCAGGCTACGATCGTTGTGTGATCAGTTAACAGTTTGTGTCAACAACTTCAGGATAATCTGTAAGTTAAATGTGTTCAAGAGATGGCATAACGCGAGTCTGACTTCAATCGTTAGTTCGTCAATACATTGACAGGAGTGCGGGAACACCTGGTTCGTTCCCTGATCATTGTGGCGGTGACATTGAATGAAAAGATGATGATGATGACAACGCTGATTATTATTATTATAAGTAGTAGTAGTAGTATTACTATTAACAACCATGATTATTATGGGCACGGATGGCACAGTCGTCTAAGGCACCGCAATTCGCGGTGCAGAGTTGCGTCCCATGGTCATGCCAGGAACCTATGATTATGGGTTCGAATCCCGTTTCACCCCGGTTTGGTTTGTCAGCAACATACCCGTGCTCGTGGTTTTCACCTAACTTGTAAACGTTCGGGTTTTCTCGGACATTAAGCTGACACGCCGTGATATAACTGGAATACTGTTCAAAGCTGCGTTAATCACTCACTCATTACTATTATCATTATTAACTCGAGCACTGTCACCCACCCCTTTATTTGCCGCCGCCAGTTAACCCTACCTGCGGTATGGCTACAAGCAACACATGAGGTAACAGGTAGATAGAGAGACCGAAATAAAAAGATCAGCCCTGGATTGACAGACAGAAGCAGGCGTTTAGGAGGACGACGAAGTGAGTCAGCAAGAGGCATGTATGTGAATCTCACATTAAACAAAGCCAGTCTAGGCACGGCAGTTAGTTACCGCCCAATGAATTTCCTATTATCTCAGAACTGATATGCCACCGAAAACTTTCCACATTAAGCTCTTTTGATTACGCGTGCGATCAACCGACCGCCGTCATCATTATTACGAAGATTATACCCTTCCAAACGAGCAATACATAGACTCAAATATTTGCTTTCCACGACGCACGATCAAAAAACTTGTATTTTCCACCTCGGCGGACCGGAGTTAGCTTTCGTTTACGCTGTTCTGTGCGCGTAACTATTGTAGACAACATTAAGGACAAGACGAGAAAAACTAGAGACTTGTCCATGGGCCAGGCAGATGTGAACGGGAGGGCAATTGATGGCAGACCCCAATCAGTGAACGTCAGTAGATCTCTTACCGATATTGATTGCCCTGCAGAAATAGTTAACTTTTTGTATTGCACAGGGTCAAAATACCAGTGTGGCAATGACCGACGGAAGATGACGATGCAGTTATCCTTGCTGCAGATGTAGGTGATGATGTAGCACAGTAAAAGGCGAGGGGAAATGGGGTTAAACGTAGCGTTCAACATTATTGCATTGATATAGCGATATACATGCACGTGTGTGTGGCTGCTTGTACTAGTCCGGACTAATGCCGATTTTATAGTGCTAGCCCGATGAGATACCATGCCGCAGTTTAACATGAATCCCCCACTCACACACAGTATACTGACTCCTTGTTTTAGCCCCTTAATGCCGAGCGCCAGACAGGGTAATAACAAGTACCATCTTTTAACAGCTTATTGTATGAAGCGGCTGGGTTCGAACCCCGGGCCTTCCGCTTTACGGGAATACCACTAGACCACGGAGGCGGTCCACAGTAAGCGATGTGGATGTTGTTATAAACGTAGTAATTGTACTCGCAGCAACAGCGGCAGCAGCAGTAGTAGGACTATTAGTAGTAGTAGTTGTACTAGTGGTAGCAGTAGTAGTAAAATGTGGTGGTAGTAGTAACAGCAATTAAAGAAGTGTCAGGTTCCGCCGTAATGTGGCTGGTATTTTATTAAGAGCGGCTTGAAATTCAACTTATTCGCTTTTGTCACTCATCATTTCTAAAGTGGCACATCACTGGAAACGATATACAAAGAACATATTTTCGAAAACAAAGGAAATGTACAAACGAACTATCCAAACCCGGAAATATGAAAATAATCAAAAACATAAATGGCCGTGATATTATTAGTTCCATATATAATCCCAATTTAATGCAAAATCCTCACTCCACTTGAACGATAAGAGCTGAAGCTAGCAAGCACGCTGGAAACCAAGCGAATAGCTCTGTCTTTGAGATCTCTCCTTGAGAATCCAGGATTGTATTTAATCAGAGATGCTAGGACGAGGTGGCTGTCATAGACGGTGGCTCTCAGCTACTTCTCGCAATCGGAAATTGGCGAGAGAGAAGCGCACAAAATTGAAAGAGGACACCTAAAGGACTATGTACAATTGATAAAGCGCTTGCTCCAACGTGGGTGCCTTGTATCCTAGCACCATCGTGTCCAGTGGAGGTCTTTGCCATGCTCTGTCCAGCGTTGCGGAGACGCCAATCTATTAGCACATCTTTCACAAGGACTTGAATTTTATTTGTCGTTCACTTCTGAGGAGTATTTGCCAAAAATGTCTAAAACAGTGATCGTAATTGCCCTGTAAACTTTGATTTGCGGAATTGCGTTTGTGCTAGATTTAATCAACACGGCTTTAGAACCAGTTGGTTGATGCTTGTCAGCTCGTCGTGGCCGCAGGGGCCCGTTGTCTTGTCTCATCGATCCTACGAGAGTGAAATTACATCCATGTGGACCGGCTCCAACCCCTTTCATATCATTCAGGCAGTATGTGTTACCAATAACGGTCTTATAATAAAAATGCCCCGACCAAGAATGGATCACATCCCTTCTTTGCCAACGGGCCAATGTTTTCTAAATGGAAGCAAAATATGCTCTGCTTTCGTTGGTCCCCGTGTACAGAAGAGTCATTGGGCCAGCAGAAACATTAAAATCTTGGAATGAAATTTCGGTGCCGTATTCCGCCTAAAACTGTATCTGACCAAATTCTTTAAGACGTGGCGAGAAGCCTG